GTCCCTCCACACCGGTACTCTTGTCAGCATCTCGGGCCACCATGCTCGGCTTCCGACCACAGATGTCAGTGACCCTCCCTGCCCCTCCACCCTGCAGGCGGAACTTCCAGTTTTCATCTCCTTCATTCCCCTCTACACTTGGAGAGGGAGGCAGAGCAGGGACCAGTGGCCCATGACAACTGATGGGGAGACTGAGGATCAGAGGGGGCCATGATCCGCCCGTGACACACAGCGGGTTCGTGGCAGAGACCAAGACAGAATCCAGGCCTGCTGGGATGACACCCTGAAATCTGGCCCCTGGGAGATAGACTCTGGAAGGAAGGGCCCCCAGGGCCAAGGGAGGTGAGGTGCCCCCTAGAGAGTTATTTGAAAGGAGAGTCAGTTGCTGAAATAAGGAAGTATAGACAATGAACAGCTGATGGTTTGGATCTTCTAGAGCCAAGCGCCAGTAAAAAGACAATAATGGAACGCACGATAATTAAGCACTTATTATGTTTCGGGTTCTGGGCTAAGTGCTTAACATATTCAAGCCTCTCGACTTCCTTATGAGTCAGGTGCTATTAATATCTCTTGAGATACAGACAGGTTAGGGAACTTGTCCAAGGTCACACAACTGGGAAGTGTAGGGCTGGGACTTGAATGCAGGCCTCCTGGCTCAAGAGGCCACACTCAGGAAAGTACTGGACTCAGGTCACATCGCTGAGTGGGGCCTCAAGGCCCACCCACTTTCAGCTGAACACATGACTGAGGGTCAAAGCAGGGGAACTTGGGACAAAAAGCACCCTAGGCTTTCAAGGGGAAGAGTCTGTGTTGAAAGCCAGTAACTAATAGAGGAAAGGGGGTGATGGAAGGGACAGGGAAGAGAAGGAGGTGGCCCGGGAGGAAGATGGGGAGGGAGAGGGAGAGAAAAAGCCTGGCTGGCCTATAGGAAGAGTCACAAGAGAAGGGAGACTTCACTTCCAGGCATCTGGCTGGACCACATGGACCTGCAAACTGTGGACCCTGCAACATCTCCGTCTTCCTGTGACAGCTCTTGTGTCCTGATTTGGGAAAATAGTTCCTTAGCCTCTGAGCTCTGGTTGTGGGAAGCGGGCCAGGGGCTCCCTGGGCTGAGTGAAGGAGGAGTTTGCAGAGGTGGGGGAGCTGGGATGGGAAGAGGCTCATCTGGCCCTGGGTGGCGACAGTGGCAGGTGGGACCTGCCCTGACTGGCGTTTGTCCCCCCCACCCCCAGCCCTGACCAGGACGTGCCAGCATTCTTAGTGCTGCCTCATCCTCTTTCTCTGCCTCTCCACCACCGCTTTTGGGGATGGAGGGATGTGTTTCCAGGTGAGGCAAGGAAGAAAGGGGTCAGCCACAGGTGTGATGGCAGTGTCTGACCTAGGTCTGGCCTCCTTATCCATCCTCTCAATAAATATTTATTTAGTCCCCACTCTGTGCCAGGCCCTGTTCTAGCTTCCTCTAAGGAGGGAAATAGACAATATTCAAGGTAAATAAATAAAATACAGTTAGATGGTGTTAATGCCAAGAAGGAAAACAGGAGAGCACAAAACAGGGGCAGGGAAAGCCAGGGTGTGATCTGACCCGATGACGATGACATCTGAGTCCAGACCTGAAGCAGGTGAGGGAGTGTGTTGGCGGGGAAAGTGCTCCAGGTGGAAGGAACAGCAAGAGTAAGGGTCCTGAGGCAGAAGCACAACCACTGTGCTGGTGGAAAACCGAGGAGGCCAGAATGAGGAGTAGGAGAGGCAGGAGAGCAGAAGGGAGACCGTCGGCTCAAGGGGCTCATGTGCAGCCCAGTAGCCTCAGAAGGACTTGGGCTTCTTCCTGAGTGAGCCTGGAAGCCAGAGTTAGCAGAGCACAGAGGTGGCTTCCTCTGACGAGCATCTTACCTTGGATGGCCCTGGCTGCAGGTGGAGAAGGAACTGGAGCGGGGGACAGTTCATAGTAATCCAGGGGAGAGAAGATGGTGGCTTCAGCTAGGGACTTAGTGATGGAGGTGATGTGACACGGCTGGGTTCTGGGAGGCTTTCAACATGGAGGCAAAGGATTTGCTGATGTGTGAGAGAGAGAGGAAGGAATCAAGCATGGTGCCAAGGGTTTGGTCTGAGCAATTTACAGATTCAGCTGCCATTTACCGAGCTGGGGCCTCATCTCAGGTCCATTACCTTGATGCTAACGTCTTAGGCACAAGGGAGGATCAGAATCACCCCCCTTGAAGCTCTGCCGACCTGCACACACCCATTCAGGCCTCTCTGTGTCCTGATACTTCCCCTCAGCTGGGAGCAGCTGCCCGCCTCAGCACTTCTCAGAATCGAATGTGCATATGATTCATCTGGGATCTTGTTAAAATGAAGGTTCTGAATCAGTAGGCCTCCGGCGGGGCCTGAAACTCTTCATTTCTAACGAGTGCCCAGGTGATGTTGGAGGACCACACCAAGTAGCGAGGGGCCCTATGTCCCAGCCCCCAGTGCAGATTTTCCCTCACTGAGCATTAGTGTCGCCTGAGAGTGGACTAAACACCCTGAACACCCCCTGATCTAGGAATCAAATTCTCAAGGGACAGAGCCCAGGAGCCTGACCTTTTGGAAGCAGCCCAGGTAATCTGAGAGTCAGCCGTGGGTGGGAATCCTCCAGCAACCACCCTTGCAGCTCCCAGAGCAGCCACTATAAATACCCCCCTACCCTAGCCTGGCCCCACCCAGCACAGAAGGAGCTCACTGCAACCATCTCCACAGCGCCCCCTTCACCATCGGTGTTAGTCACCTTGCCCTGCTCTAGCCCCTATAGGCTGGCATAACATTCCCTCCCTGAGTTCACCTCTCTGCAACTCCCAGAGGGCAGACAGCCTAGGGAAGGGCCTGGAGAAGAGGGCAAACAGGTGCTACCTGCTGGGCCCGAGCAAGCACACCCTAAATGGATGGTACCCACAGTGGGTGAGTGGGCTGGGTGAGCCAGTGATGGTTCACAGTGGTCACAGTGACGACCCCAGGCAGGGCATGATTACAAGACCTTGAATGAATGAATGAAAACAGGTTGAGAGAGCCTGAATGAATGTAGGAGGAAGCTCTTCAGAGCCCTTCCCCTGGGCTCCTGCCTGCTTGGTGTCAGGGCCCTTGCCAGGAGGGCTCAAATGTGTCCTAGAGAGGAGCTGGGCTGAAGACGTGGAAGGAGAGATAGGGAAGGACTAACGTGGCTCCCACAGTGCCTCTGGGAAGCCAAAGCCCGGAATTCTTAGACTCCTGGAATGTCAGAAGTGGGAAAGGACTTGGTGGTCATTTGGAATGACCTCGTATTTTACAGAGGCAACACCTGCAGACTGAGGGGGCGGTGGGACTTTCCCAAGGGAGCCCGGTTGGTGTGATGGCCCGGTTACAGATCTCGCTCTGGCTCAGTTGTTGATGCCCGCAACTCGGGTCTTGTCTGTGGCCACATCTCTCCATGCACCTGGGCCGGTCCTTTATCCTAAGGGCCTGCCTGTCCCCAGCCACAGGCCTCCAGAAGTGACTCACTAACCTCCAGCTCAAATCATGCAAGCCTGCTGACTCCATGCTCAACCCAGATCCCTCACTCCCAAAGGTGGTCAGCGAGGACAGGAGAAGCCAGAGTATGCATGAGCAGCCTTGCAGGATGCGTTTTCACATGTAACAAATCTAGAAAGGCCACTGAGAGAGAGGAATAGATGAACAAAAACCCAGAGGTTGGAATGAGGGCTGAAGGCAAGGAGACCAGGGAGGAGCCTGGCAGAAAGGAACAGCTCATGGCCAGGTTCCAGAGCAGAAGGCCTCGAACGCTGAGCTGAGGAGGAGCCAGCATTACCCCCACCCCCACGTCCCCCATGTATCACCTCATGCAAGACAGCTTCTAATCCTCCCTGAGCTCTCTGCCATTTCCCTGTAGACACATGGAGCCCCGGGCCCTGCCTGGATAGTGGGGGCGATGAGGCACCTCCTGAAACCCTCTCCCTGGGGGCTGCCGGAGCGCCCCTACCCCACCAGGCTAGACCCTCACCTGCCATTGTTCAGGGGCCAGAACTTGCAGAGCAGGATTCCCGGACAGGTTGTTGGGAAACAGTGTTTGCTGGGGCAGGGAGGGAACCAGATGGGAACCCAAACTGGGCCACAGACCCCACTATCCTGGCCCAGCAATGGGAGGCTGAAGTGTGGTTATGGACAGAAATCCAGCGTCAGGCAGCCCCAGGTTTGAAGGCTCACTCGTGAGCCAAGTGACCTTGGGTGAGTTAGTTAACCTCTTTGAGCCTCAGCAGCCTCATCTGCAACACTGGCACGATAATAATAATACAGTTCCTTGGGAGTTTTGTGAGAATTAAATGAGAATATGTAAATTAAGTCCTTAAGACGGATACATAGTAAATGATTTCGTAAATAGCAGCCGTTAGTATTATGATTCAAGAAAGGAAAGGGGTTCTAGAAAATCCTGCTTGGAGGATGATAAGAACAGAATTTGGGCCAACTCTGGGTTGAACGACCTGCAGAACTTTCAACCAGCTGTGCTGGGCCCTCTTGGGGGAGTGGAGAAGGGAGGTGGGAAGGCAGGTAGCTGCTTAATCTCCCTCCTTCAGGGGAGGAAATAATGGGAGTAAGTCAGAGAACAGCAGGCGCAGGTGGGATTTGGTATTCTGTTAAATCTGTGAGCCAAAAGAAATGCAAAAGGCCAGGTCCAGGGCCGAGAGGCTGGGGGTGGGAGTTTGAGTTTCACCTGTGTGGTCTTGGGCAAATGTCTTCCCTTCTCTGACCCTGTTTCTCCACTGGATGAGGATAGTGGCTAGAGGTGGCCCAGGAACATCCATCTTCTCCAACAGTCCCATGCATGTGGAAGGTGGTCCCTCCGACCCAAGTGGTCCCCATGAATAAGGCCTGGGCAACCAATAGTCCCAGGAGCCCCCAAGGCCCCCCTTTTCCTCTGAGCCTGCACCCAGGGAAGGGAAGCTCAAACCAGTGGGGTGGCCAGGCTGGCCTAGGGGCTGACAGGAGGCCCTGACCTTTCGGTCCAGAGTGAGCACACTGGTCATGGGACTGCTCAGAATAGCCATAGCGCTATAGTCAGCTGTCTTGGGAGGCCCCGAGATCCCTGGCCCAGGCAGCGGGACCTGAAATGAGCCCCCTCCAGAATCCTTCCCCCAGCTCTAGGACAACCTGTCTGCCTCTCTGGGAAGCTCAAGCCAATCTTCCCAAAGCTTCTGGCAGATGCCAGGCCTCCCGCTCAGAGTTAAGGAGCACAGATACCTGTGTCCAAGGCACCAGCTTCCAAATACTCCCTGAGGCATCGGAAGGGGGATGACCGGCTCTCCAGCCACTAAGCCAGGAGTTAGAGATCTGGGTGTCTGAACCTGCCCAAGTAACCTGCTCACATTTGGCCTTGGGAAAGCACTCCTCTCTGGGCCTCAACTTCCTCCTCTGTCATAACAGTCACTCCTATTATGGAGTATGTAAGAAGCTTAGAGTCTGGAGGTAGAGACAAACCTGACTCAAGCAAGGCTGCTAACGAACATTTTATTACATACCAGATAGCTTCTCTGAAGGGAAGGACTCTGAACACTGACCCCCGCTGTGGGTTCTGGGAAGGCATCATGTAGAACAACGTTTTGAGTGGGATGTGAAGGATGAAGAGGTGCAAAACAGGAGGAAATAGTGTTCCAGGTGGAACAGCATGTGCAAAGGCCCTGAAGCAGGGGCACCTGGCACATGCAAGGAACTGAAATGAGGCCAGGGTAGCTGCAGCTCAATGAGCAATGGGGCGAGCCAGGCCAGAGGAGACTGAAGAGGGACGCGGGGCTTGAGGGACCACAGTATGGTCCAGGGAAGCACCGAAGGGTTTTAAATAGGCAAGGGAATGAGCTGACAGATTTGTGAGTTGAAGAGACCTCTGTGGTTGCCAAGTAGACAATGAACTGGAGGGTCCGGGGGCTGGAGGCAGGAGAGCAGTCGGGAGCTGCTGGAGGAGTGAGGGGAACGATGGCGGCTTGAACCCGGATGGTGGACGTGGGGATGGAGGGCCAGGGACAGAATCTAGAGAGCCGTGAAGTAGAATGATAATACGACCAACAGGAGTGATGGTAGCAGCCAACATTTATCGAGCACTTACTGCATGCCGGACCCTGTGACTCGGGGCTCTCCACACATTACTTTGGTTAATCTTTCCATTAACTCTCTGGGCTAAGTTCTATCATTATGTCCATTTTAGTTTAGTTACTTTAAATGTTTACTTATTTATTTATTTAGTTTGAGAAGGAGGATCCCAAACAGTCTCCACTCCGTCTGCACAGAACCTGACGTGGGGCTCAATCTCATGAACCGTGAGATCATGACCTGAGCCAAAATCAAGAGCCAGGTGCTTAATCGACTGAGCCACCCAGACGCCCCTATGTCCATTGCAGAGGTGAAGGGGCTGAGAGACTGTGATGAGGAGACACTGGTTTCTGATTTTCATTACTGAGAAGGGAGCTGGGCGGGGGGGGGGGGGGGGGGGGGGGGTGCAGGTACCATTCAGACATAAGGACATCTGTGAAAACATCACAGGAAGGAGAAAAACACTAAGTTGGGGACACATTGTGGTGGGGAACACATGGGGTGGTGGAGAGGGGAACACACCAGCCCCTTCCCCACTGCCCATGGGTCTCCTTCACAGGTTACCATGACTAGAGGTGGGGCCCTGGCCTGGGGGGCAGGCTCTGAGGTGGAAGGCTGGGTAGGAAGTCCCTGAGAGCAGCTCTCTCCTGAATCTCACCAAGACTCCAAGGCCCTGTGTCAGCTAAGACACAATGGAGGAACAGAAGTCTCTTGCTGGACTCTTCATTCCTGCCACCAAGTGCATTTCCTTCCCAGGGAGCTGAGGAGAAGCTGGGGCTGCATCAGGTCCCAAAGGGGAGGGGACAAGGCAGAGAGACAGAGAGTGGAGGAGTGGGCAGTGGGGTGGTGGGGCTTCCCCAGCTTGGGAACCACTGGAACTTCCTTGTCATTTGGAAGGTCAAGTGACTGTCATTTGCAAGGGGGACAGATGTCATCTCTCTCTCTCTCTCTCTCTCTCTCTCTCTCTCTCTCTCACACACACACACACACACACACACACACCACATACTAAAGATACTTTCTGACCTGCAGAACAAGGACCAGCATTAGCCCTGACCTGAAACACAACAATGTTCCTGATGAAAACATGCAAATCATAGATAAAAGCCAAGGGCCTCAGACCTGCACTGGCCCCAAGGCAGAGAGAAGGGCAGGTTTCAAGGCAGGGCTGCTCCAGACTTCACCAACAGCCCTGCCTGCTCCCACACCTTCATGGCTTTGCTTGCCAGGACTGCCATCCCCTGCCATCTGCCTGGCTTATTCCTACCTGCCCCTCAAAGCTTACCTTAGCGTTACCTCCTCTGGGACTGTTCCTTCTCTCACAAGCCCAGGAAGCCCCTTCATGGCCCTTACTGCATAGTGCCACCATCATCCTTTGCTTGTGTGCATCTGGGGTAGCACCCCTCACCCCAGAACACGAGCTGGGGTCATCCTGTCCCAACTCACTTTCCCACCCCTCACCCCTTCAGCTGGGTGCCCAGAAAAGCACAGGAGAGAGGGTCTGGGGAACAGGCAGCTCTAGCTCGCTGTCACCCCTGAAGAGCTCAGATGGGACTTCCCACCCCAGCCAAGTAGCCCTTTCTTCCAGGGTCAACAAGAAGGCCTGGGGGAGGGTAACCTCACTGTCTGGTCCGTGCACCAACAACCGGCCTGGGCTAGAGCAGTATTTCTATCGAAGACCAGAAATGAGGAGCAAAACCGCTCACTAGAGCAGCTCAGGAGGACCAGGAGACCAAGGGAGCAAGCAGGAAGCTGGTCTGGAATTTCATCTTCCTCAAGAAACACCCACACCTGGGCAACACAGGGTCTCTCTCACACACGGCCACAATGACAGAGCCTCACACATCCACAGTCTGTGCCACATACACGGTCCCCCACCCCACATACAGACTCACACACAGATGGTCTCATGCACACAGCCTCACACACACACACACACACACACACACACACACACACACACACGCGCAGCCACACATGCACAGCTTCACATGGACAATGTCACACTCGCCACAGACAGCAAGGTACTCACACAGTGGCACACCCCAAGTTTCTCAGACACACACAGCATTTCTCTTACACATACAGTCTCCCTCTCTTTCTTATATACACACTCTCTCCCACGCTGCCTCGTTCTCACACACAAAGTCCATCTGAAAACACACAGAATCTGTCTCTCTCACGTTCACACAGAATTTCTGATACAGACCCTCACGGAATCTCTTGCACATAGTCTCACCACACGCATATACACATGCGCGCACACACGCATATACACATGCGCGCACACACGCGCACACTCCTCCCAGAGTCTCACTCACACGTATTTTTATTCTCATATGGGCTTTCTCACACACATGAAGAATCTCTCACACCCACACAGAATCTCTCTTACACAGATTCCCTTTCACACACATACAGCTTTTCTTTCACACATACGTACAATGCCACACACACGTACAATGTCACACACATCCAGGATTCTAGTCTAGAAACTAGAATGAAAATTTAAACCCTGACCTACCAGTTTGAGGAGGGGGGAGGGGTAAACAAAGGTGACAGCAGCAGCCGAGCAAAGATGGAGGGGGAGGAAGGCCAGGCAGCAGGCTGGTCCCTGCGCAGATGAGCCGCAGAGAGGCAGCGCAATGCAGCTAAGGCCAGCTTGGCGTGCAGCAGGAAGCCTGAGTTCTAATCCAGGCTCTGCCCTCAGTTCTCAAGTGCCCTTGGGCAGGTCCTTCCTCTGTGGGCCTCAGTGTCCTCATTTGTCACCCAGAGGAATTGGAGTGATTCTGTGAGGCTACAGGGAAAAGAAGGCGCGGACAGGGGGTGGGGGGTGGGGGCTTCTAACTCTCCTCCATCTCCCCACTACAGTCCAGCTTTTCCCTCAGAGTCTGTTCTTCAATGAACACTTGAGACAATCAGGAATTTTCTGCAAGGTTCAAACACCAACAAGACCCCAGACCACACTAATCAGCCCATTTATCTGCATTGGGTAAAGACCACCCCATGGCCTAGGAATGTCAAGTGGAAGAAGATGGACAGTAAGGGGGTGGGGGTGGAACATACCCCACATGTCCCCTGTCTATCCAGAAAGTCAGGAACACAGGTCAGAAACCTAAAACTGAGCCCAAGGGGTAGGGTGAGGGTACCCAGCTTCTTACTAGGGAGCCAGGTGGCTGAGAGGACAATGAGAAAATTGGGCCTACTTCCTTCCTGGGCCAAGGGGGATGGTGGTGGTGGTGAGATGCTGTCCAAGGTCAAATGCAGGCTGAATGGGTGGCTGTCCTAACCCAGGCCTTTGCCGAGCATGCCCCCCAGCCCCAATATGTGTTGGTTCAACCTCCCAGCCCCCCTCCTCCGGCCCCTCTCCACAGCTCAGCCACAGCCTCCAGTTACATAATTCCCTGGTTGTGGTGGCCTCTGTCAGGAGAGGAGAGGGGAGGGTAGATCTCTGAGGGTCCCAGTCCATTCTGGAAATGGCAGGGAACTGGCATCCAGCTCAGGAGATGATGGGATCCCAGAGGGCCTGGGTTCTAGTCTTGCTTGGCCTCTGGCTCCCTGAGTGACCTTGTGTAGGGTCTCTAGTGGCAAAACGAAGGGCTTGGTTCTGTTGCTATCCACCCTCCCCCACATCTGTTCTAGAATTTAATGCATAAGACTCTGACCTGCTGCCCCCTCCCTTGCATGCTAAAACACTGAGAGTTTTATCGAAGTCACAAATGTATCAGGCCTGTGCCTAAACAGCCTTTTTCTCCTCATGGACACCTCAGTGCCCCCCAAGTCCTCTTCCCCCACTGATCCTTAGCACTGATCCTGCCTCCTTCCCTGCCTAATCCTCCCCACCTCAGCTCCAGGGGGCAGGAAAGAAGGGATGTGGAGCAACAAAAGAGAGCAGTGGTTTGCCTGGTGGGGGGTTGAGGGGTGGCTCTGCTTTAAATTCACAACTCTGACCCTCTTCTCACGC